AGAGGCCAATCAAGCACAGTAATCCCACGATCATTGAACCAGTTTTTGGTGCTTTTGGCAAAAGTTGCTTTCATCAGAAAAGAGAACAGAAGGAGAAAGATATGCTCTCCTCATCTGATGCAGGAAAAGCAGATGCTAGATATGCTGATCAATTGCCAACACTCTAGTGGTTTGAGTCTAGCTCTGCAGGACACAGTGAGTTCCCATCTCTTGTCCGTAGCTCTGCTCACCTAGCAGTTTGAAAGCATTGTTTGGGAGTAGATTGATAGGTACCACCAACGTTGGTGGGAAACTGCTGACTTTGTTCTGCATGAGCAGGAATCAGTGCTGGATCTGCCTGGATGCAATTGACAGAAAAGCAGTATAGAATTTTGTCAGGCTATATTACTGCTGGATAAGAAGAGTTGCAGTGTTGGAAATACCATAAATCAGTGATGGCTAACCTTTTCCGGACCGAGTGTCCAAAATGTGCATGTGTGGGAGTGAATGCGTGTGCGCGCATCTGAACCCACAAAATGCAATGTGCACATGGGCCTGTGCATGCACCCCACCCCTCACGCATGTATGTGTGCACCAGCCCCCACCGCATGTGCTCCAGCCCCCAAGTGCATGCGACCCACCCCATGCATGTGTGGCAGAGACCTGAAGACCAGCTGGCTGATGGGAGGCGCATGCGTAGCCAGGCTGAACTGGGGTGATGGCTCGTGTGCTCACAGAGAGGTGCTGCATTCCACCTGTGGCATACGTGCCATAGGTTCACCATCACAGATGGTAAAAATGCCGATCTTAAGCACCATGAAAGGATAATATGCAGGTATCAGGTTAAGATGACAACAGACATTTACACCTTGTGATAATGTATTTTTCCTGATTTAAAACAGAACAGGTATATTCTATGGTGGACAGCTTCAGGTTAGAAATACCTCCAGAATTGACAAGAAATAGGGTGGATTAAAACACTAAAAAAACAACCCTTTTATGAAAAAAAAACCCTTTCGAGCATTTATTTAACACGCCCCCCCCCCACGTTTTACTTTACAGCGTCACAGAGTTGAAGCCAAAACAAGTAGGCAGTGGTGAAATTCAATCTTTTTTACTACTGGTTCTGTGGCCATGGCTTGGTGGGTGTGGCAGGGGGAGGATACTGCAAAATCTCCTTTCCCATCCCTCTCCAGGGGAAAGATACTGCAAAATCCCCATTCCCTCCCCAATCCTGGGGGAAGGATATTGCAAAATCTCCATTTCCTCCCCACTCTGGGGCCAGCCAGAGGTGGTATTTGCCGGTTCTCCGAACTGCTCAAAATTTCCACTACCGGTTCTCCAGAACCTGTCAGAACTGGTTGAATTTCACCCTTGCAAGTAGGGATGCCTGTTGTCTTCCATACTCAATTATTTTTTATTTTCTAATTTCTTGTTCCCAAGTCACAAGGAAATGATTGGTTGATCTTAAGGTTGTTTTTGTCTGAGTCAGAGCTCAGCTTGACTGGTTTTTTTTGTACACCAGTTTTGAAATTTACTGAGCCCTATCAGTTCGTCCTCAGAGCAGAGAGCTTGGGTCCTCACAGCAGCCAAAATGGACTAGGACTCAGATTCTGGCATAAGGTGACTTCTTGTCCTGGCAGCTTTTGAAGCAGCTTTTCAAGTTGTTCCTTTATTGATACTTTAATCAGTGGCAAATATAGATACATGACCATATTAATATTGAACTGGTCAAGATCAGAGCACCTGACAATTTCTTCATAACAAGCCTTTTTTTAAATCCGCAGAAACAGGCCAGGTGAGAGTTCATCTTTTCAGACCAAATGACAACCCCAACATTTTACTTTTTCTTCCAATTTACCAGAGAAACTGCTGTGCCTTTTCAACAGGTATCAACTGTGCCAAGAACAAAGTAATCTCAACTCTTTTTTTTCAAAAGGGAATGCTTTAAGTAACCTATCATGTTGCAGGAAAGAAAGAAAAAAACGAGAAAACAGAATCCAGCTAAAGTTGCAAAATATGTTTAGTAGCATTGGAATTTAATGCACTGATGAATCTTTGCCATGGGCAAATTTTTGCTTTTGTTTTTTCTCACAGTAACAGGTTTTTTTTTAAAATAATGGTTGGCAAGGAAACTCATGTCTAACTGGGCACTTCCTGATTACATTAGCATAGCTCATCCCACATGAACAAACGCCCAGCACAACTTCATTTTAATTCTGGATCCAGGCCAAAAGCATAAGCACTACAGTGAATATAAGGAGGAGAATGATTGCAAAGTGAGCCATAAACTGTATTAGCACTGGGAGTATTTCTGTTCTATGTTGTCTATAAGACTTTAGATACTTACACAGTTGAAAATATACTTAGCAAGCAAGCAAATGCTGTGTTTCTCTTGTGGTCTGAAACTATAATATGATAGAATCTTCACACAAATCTGGTGCAATTCCATAGAGGTGTGTTTTCCTTCCCCCCTTCTTCACAGAAAAAAGGAATATACCAAGGGAAGGAGGAAAGTGGAAATAAAGCATGACAGAAGCAAAGAGGAAACAGGAAAATGCCATATGGAGGAAGATCCATGCCTTTCGCTACAAAAACCTCAAACTCTGGTGTGTAAACAGGCTGCCTCTTTTGGAGTGGGCACCACACTATTGTTGGAAAATGGACCTGCTGCCTGATATAGTTTCTGGGATGATGTTGGCAGTTCAACAGGTGACACAAGGTACTGTGTTAAAAACTGTGTCAGTGACTTGTATTGTTTAAACTGAACTGCTCTAGCCTTGAAAGTAGAAGATCTGTTTGCTGACTTAATGGGGTTTTTAAAAATGGAGATGGGCACCTTTGCTTTTCCAAACCTCTGTTTCTCTTGAAGCATCTCGCATTATATTTATTGGGCCTTATTTTGGGCGATTTTAATTTTAAATGGGAATAATTACTCTTGATTCTGTTGACTTAAAACAGTTTTATGGACTGGCTATTGAACAACAGTGTACCTCTATAACTTGCAAACAATGTTCATCATACATTTCTGTGTACATACATGTACACGCATATGATCATTGTGGTGGTTTACATAATAGATGTAGCTTGTCTTTCAATTTCTTCTCTTCATATCTGTGCAAAGAGGTTTATCTTTGTTTTTATAAAAGAAAGGCTAACTTCAATAATAGTTTATTAGGCAACCAGTTACATAATCTTATTACTTTTATTTTATTTGTGGTTGAAAAACTGCATTGTGCAACATCAAAAAGAGGATTGTAGATACCTAGCATTATGCCTTTGATCTAAACCTTAGTGAAAGGGCTTATGCTTTAGGTTGAAATTATACTGAAATAGTGTTTGTGTGTGTGTGTGTGTGTGTGTGTGTGTGTGTGAGAGAGAGAGAGAGAGAGAGAGAGAGAGAGAGAGAGAGAGAGAATGTTGCAAAACACTGTTTTATGAATATTCAGCATTTCATTCTTAATGTAGTAGTTTTCCTTCTCTTCCTCAAACTATGAAAACAATAAAATAAAAAAAAGTATTACTTTGAGCATTATCTGGTATTCCTTTGAAAATGGTGACCTTCAAGCCATAAACTTTCTGGATATAAAAGGCCAAGGCTGTGATGCCTTATTTTTTCTAAATAACTACCCTATATCATCATCACAATGACATCTTTTCTTGTAGAACTAAACAAAGATAGCAGTCCAATTCAGTTAATCACCATTGATAAGAATAATCCTGGCCTATATATGCCATTTTGTGTGTGTGCAGGTGATAGATAAAAAAAAAATACAATAGCTAAAGATTTCTCACATTATGGTATTTTGGGGGATTTCTGCCTGGGATCAAAAATTAAAATGGAATATAAATCATTCAGAAGCAAAAGCTTTCTGATGGCTGCTTTTTCAGATTCCCTAACAGCTTGGTCTAGTTTTCATTCATGTCTTGGAAATTATAAGCACTCCTTTAATTGAATTATTCTGCAGCTGGAATCATCTGGTTTGTGTATGTACTTGTACTTTTGGAATAATTAGTAACATCTGCATTGACATGATTTAAGTTGAAGACCTTAATACTGTAGTACTATAAAAAAAACCTTGTTCTCTGATATATTGATACAAAGAATAGCATATTAAATGGTGCTAGTAATGATATTTTAGAAGCCAACTAAAATAATGAGCTTTAAAAAAAGGCGACATGGGTACTTATTTCTGTCCTTTCTGTGAACTTCCACAGAGCAGGATTTTTACTAGTTATGGCAGCTTTCCACAATTTAATTCTTCCCAGATGTGCTGGGACTACAACTCCCAGAATTCTCAGTCAGTGAGAAAGGCACTATATGAATGGAAGAGTTAAACTTTAAAAAAACATATCTGATACTGGAAAAAAGTGATTTCCTTAAAAACATAGAAACTGATTTATATACTTACATTTATCTAGTTCAGTGCTGTTTACTCTGAGTTTGTTTCCTAACCATGCCATAAACATTCCCCAATAAATGTTTTATATCATATGTCCTATGATTTTGTTATAAACCCAGCCTGTAGATAATGCAACCGAAAGTTATATTTAGCTGTCCAGTTAGGATGTAGCATGCTCCTTTTTATCCCCAACATAGATTTTGCTGTAAACCCAATTTAGAATAAATATGGTCATGGATTGGCATTTATCTAACCTTTGGCAACTGGGTTGCTATTTTGGATTATTGTAGGTATCAAAACATACACAGGTTCNAAAATAGCCTAAAATCTTATGTTAAAATGTATGCAAATATAATTCTCTGTCATTCTTGCATTCTTTTTTTCCCTTTACTTTTGTTGGTTTATTGTAATGTCCTCATTTTAAATGTTGTGAGCCACTCAGAGTTGTTGAGACTCGGGTGGCATACAAGTTTGATAGATAGATAAATAAATAGGCTATTTTTTTAAAAAAAAAAACTTGGCAGCTTTAAAGATGTGTGGACTCCAGCTCCCAGAATTCCCCATGCTCATAAGGCCTAATGAACTTTGGCTTGTTGGGGTCAACTGACTGCAAGAATGAAATCATGGCCAAATCATTGAGCCAGGACAGAAGGCTAGAAGTTGCCACTGATCCATGTTAAGGTAACAGGCTGTCATCAAGAGTTGATTATGGTGGACTCTTCTCCCCTCATTCTCCTGGATCTCTGGGTTTAATTTTCCAAACTATGATTGTGCAAGACAAAAGGGAGCAAAGAAAGAGAATAATAGAGATAGGGAAACCTTAGTTACAAACTTAATTTGGGAGAAAATGTGAGGATATTGATTCTCCATGGTTGATTGCTTGAAGAACTAGTTTTCCATATGTGGGGAATTTTGCTGTTCAAGAAGAGCAGCTAAGAGTTCGTATTATCCACTTATGTTTGGTGAAGCTGGAAGGGGACTGAATTTGCCAAATTCACATTATTTGAGATAGGTTATATATTTTCTCTGAGGGGGACAATTAAAGGGTCATTTTCTCTGTAGAGGGAAATTTAAAGGACATTAAAAGGACAAATGGAAAGAATTATTGTTTTAAACCACTGCCTGCCTGAGATATTATATTAAAGAGGGTTTATAATAGGTTATTATCATTATTAACGTCATCATTTGATTTATAAGGCCATATAATTTCAGGGCCCTCACACACTATCAGTGGGGCTCACAGGAGGTAGTTTAAAAAAAAATAGTGACCTTGATGATGCAATTAAATTTTTCTTCTTGGTTTTTTACAAGTATCACACTCTTGTAGTTATCATCTTTACTTTTTTAACCATACCCCATGGACATTCCCTTATTTTATAATATCATGCTCTGCTTACAGAAAGGAAATACACCCTCTCCTAGATGGGCAAGATAATGACAAATGTGCATAAATGAGCAGGCTATGGCCAAATGTTTTGATCTACTCCAAAATAGTTGGTGGTCTTTTACACTTATCAACAGAACAGGAAGATCTGTGAGCCCAGAGGATTCTAATTGTTCTGCATACTAGACGTTAAATCATCCTCAGTTATTGTTTTCAGCCTTAGTTCATTGTCTCCAAGAAGTTGTGGCATGACTAATCTGACATCCAAAACTCTAGAAAAGGTATTAGCTGAATAATTAAATGGACTATTTTGAATTTTGAAGTATCCTATTAATGTTGACCGGCATCATTTATCATTGCAAGACAGGGATGTGGCTATTCACAACCATGTGTAACAGTACTGCAAAATTCCATTAGATAATAAGATTTTATTTAACTCTCATAGCTAATAATCGTTTGGGGATTTGTTTTTCTCTTGCTTAACTGATGTTGTGATTTATTATATGAGGTAATTACAAAGAAGGAAATCCAAGATCTCAAGGAAAAAAGAATCATGCAGAAATTCTGATGAAATATTTCAAAAGCATTTCAGACCCTGGGGGTGACTCCAAAATACATTTTTGAAACATGCACACTCATTTAATAAGAGAAATCTGAACATTTGTTTGGCCATGAATACATTTACATATAAAAAGGATGCATGCTTAACTTTGATTGGAATCAAAAAGTAACCATTAAATGAGGGGGAGGATTCTGGCATCCAGATGAAACTCCTCTGTAAATGAAATAAGTAGGAAAATAATACATTAATTCCCCTTTTATTCTGCAATCCTTGCATTTTGTTCTAAAATTTACTTAATTTAAAGAGAATATTAATTGTCTTCCTGCAGTCTTCTGCCCATGACAACCAGTATTTGTTAAGTGAAATTTCTTGATCCATCCTATTATTTAGATAATTGTGTTTCATTAACGTTACTTGTCTGGTATATAAAAAAATACCAGAGGCTCTTTCTTTGTCCTGCTAAGACTCATTTTCTTAGTGGGGACTAATTTTACTTGACTCACTTTAAAAAAAAGTAAATACTTCTTTCTTTTTATAGCTCACACTCCAGTATCAACTGATGGTAGTAGATTGGATAGCTGGGGAACGATGTCAAACTTGGACAATCTTGAATTCAAGATTCAAGATTCAGAAAAGTAGAAATCACACTGATTTAGAGAAGAATGAATCAGTTTATCTATAAATGCCACTGGATGTCGCTGTTGCTCATCTCTCATGAAAGCTTACAGTTTAGAAAGACAGATACCTTTAGCATTAGATATTTAATAACTAGGACATATTTATGTCCACATTTAATATCTAGGACAAATTTTCATATTTTTGCCTTAAATTGACAGGAAAATTTCTAATTTGGTTCCACTTTTATAATCAAAACTGGAAGTCATGTGGTCTTGCATGAGATTCAGCATTCTGAACAAATGTAGTTATCAAGTATTTGTGTAATTGTAGGTAAAAATGCTTTCATTATCAGAAAAGGACTTCCTCAATGGCATAATGAACAAATACTTTTGGGAGATGTATTTACATAGTTTATGTTCTTTTGTGATATAATTTAAGCTGCTGAGCTATTTACATTTTGATACTTACATAACTTGTGTAAATAATTAGTACTTAGGTGTTTTATGTCCAAGTCACTTATGAAAAGAGCACATGACAGCAATATGTGAAAGTGCTTTAATGGAAATGTTAAAGAATAATTTCTGATTGAGACTTGGATATATTTGCCTGCTTTGGTGGCATTTGATTAAGGGTGAATAGATCAACACATATAGCATATAATTTCTAATTAAACGAAATATGTGCCCTTATGCAGCCACAGCACTGTGCAGAAGAAATGAAATCTTAAAATGATTGTGGAGCCTTTCAGGATTCAA